AAGGTCTCTGGACCGGACCCATCACGGTAAATACATATTGGACATCTTCGGAGGTCCAGGGCGCGTACATCTCGGTCTTACTATGGGAATACGTGTCCATACAAAGACCAAGACAAATTAAACTTGTGATAAATAAACCTCTCGTACCCAGAGTGAGTCTCTGGAAGTTTCACTATTTGGGGCAAGTTACTTCGTCTACTTTAGTCTTCTGCTACTCACGGGTAGCCCAGAAAAAGCGTGAATCTACAGGTTAACAGCCGCATCCAGCTCAACCAGGATGACGACTACAAGGGGCAGCACGAACGCCGCGGGCCGTGGGAGATCACGATCAAGCTCGGCTGACTCTGGTCCTGCCCGACGGCGCCAAGGCACTGGAAGAGCCGCGGGTACATGAGGAGCAGCAGACGCAGGATGAGCTGCCGGTGCAGGAGGAGTCGCGGGCGCTGGTGGTGCCGCAGGAGCGGGAGGAGCTGTGGGCGCAGGTGAAGCAGCGGGTGATGGTGGGGCAGCGGCCCCGGTCGGCATCGCCGCTCTCGATCCCGCCGCCCAGATCGAGGCAGTAGTCGCAGCGGCGCTGGCCGCACACGTTGCGCGCTCCGGTAGTGAAGCGCAGCACGAAGAACCAGAAAAAGAGCCTGCTCGTGGCGACGATACCGCCGGAGACGCGCACGCGGATTAAAAGAGAGTGAAGATCGACACGCGTAACCTCAAGGTCGAGCCGTTCGACGGGTCTGTCCTGGAGGGCAACTTTGACTCGAAGACTCGAGACTTCGTCGAAGAACTCAGCGACCAGATCGAGGATGCGCAAACGCTCGTCGGCCAAGAATGGAGCGACGCTGCCAGGAGGGCGATCCTGAAGATGTTCCTGACTGGTACCGCTCTCAAGTGGTATCGGGACTGGCGATCGGTGAACCCAGCCGCGTCGTATGCTGACTCCTGTGACGCACTCATTCATGAATACCGGCCTGTGTTACTCAGCACTGACGTTACGAACCGTATCAGGAAGGAGAAGAAGAGATAGAACGAGACCTACCGCGAGTTTGCGGATCGTCCGCTCCAAATGGCGGACGCTCTCGAAGGAGGGAAGTCGCTCGGCATTCTCTCGTTGCGTTCGTGCGTAATGTGTACCCGAAGTACGCGGCTTTCAGAAAATGAAGGTCAACCTCGAGTCTGACAGACCGGAAACCGAGCTGAAGTCGGCAGTGGCCACTGTCAGCCGCAAGGCCGAGTCTGACGGACGCCTCCCCGACAAGGCCAAGTCAAAGTCAGCTACGCCATCTACGCAAGCGTCGAAGGAGAAGCACAAGAGCACCCGGCGCCCTGAATCCGAGATCGAGACCAACCAAGAAGCCCGAGGGCGCTAAGAAACGTGCGGCCGAAGCCAACGCCACTGTCGTGGAGCGCAAAAAGAGACACATGTTAATCAACTTATCGTCGGCGAAGTCGAGAATCATCTGCTGGGAGTGCAGCGGCACGGGCCACACCCAAGCCTTTCACCAGAAATTCCTCCAACGCCAAGTCGACCATGCGGACGACACGGAAGCCCACGCTCAGCTCGCCGACGATGACTCAGACCACGACAAGGAAATGGCGGAAGAAGACGAGCACGTCGACGAAGAATGAAGTGCTGGCGTCAGGTCGAGCCCGATCCTGCTGGATTCGGGCGCTCGCACCACCTGACGGGCCAACTCGACAGCCTGACTGACACGAAGAAGACCAAGCCTCTCGTGATTCGGGTTACGGATTGCCGAACAGTGATAGCAGAAATCAAAGGAAAAATGAGCATTAAAGCCGTGGTAGACGATGGAGCTGGAGACAGCGTCGTTCAAGTTTTCAATTTGGATATCGTGTACTACGTCCCGAACTTTGCTAAGACTTTGCTGTCCGTGTCTGCTCTCATTCATTCCAACCACGAGGTCGTGTTCACCTCCAGTGGCTGCACAGTGTTCGGAGGCTGCACACGTCGCCGCCCGGTATGCATAGCGCGAGACGTGAATGGGGTGCACCCACTCATCACCGGAGACCAGGCACGAACTGACTCCAATCTCACCTGTGGCATGGGGCTGGCGGTGCTGGGGACTGATCTAGAGTTTTGGCACCGACGCTACGAACATGTGAATCACAAGACGCTCAAGTCGATGGCAAAGCACAAAGTCGTGAAGGGACTCCGCATCGCAAAAGGAGCGAAGCCTCCCATTTGCGTCGTTTGTGCACTAACGAAATCGACCGAGAGAGCACCTCCAAGGAAGAGAACCAGTGGAGACGACGCGTCCGACGGGATAGCGCACGGTGAATTGAGTGGGCCAGTGGCCAAGTCTCGTGGAGGCTACCGTTACTTCATGGTGGTGTCGTGGCGCTCGTTCTTGCAGGCCTACCCACTTAAGAAGAAATCGGAAGCCACTGCCAAGATCAAAGCGTTCCAGAAGCTCGTCGATCGCCAAGCCGAGGTGTCAGCGTCGGAGATCAAGGTGCTACGCACGGACGGCGGAACGGAATCCGTAAACAAGGACTTCCGACGGCTCATGCAGCGCGAGGGCATTTTGCACGAGCACACCGCCATGTACAGCTCGTACCAGAACGGCGTGGCAGAGCGAGCAATCCGCACCGTGACCGAAATGGTGTCCGCGATGTTGACAGACTCGGGACTGCTTCACTCCATGTGGGCGGACGCGTTGCTCCACGCGGTGTTCATGCGAAACCGCATCCCGAAGCGTGGCGTAACCATCACGCCGTACGAAAAGCTATTCAAGCGACGCCCAAGGTGAGCAAAATCCCAATCTTCAGCCAAGCCGTCTCATGTCGGGTGCCCGAGAAGATCCGCATCAAGTACCAGCGATTCACAACCCCACGCGGCGAACTTGGAGCGTTCGTCGGATGTACCGATGGAGTAAAAGGGTACAAGATCCTGTTGCCTGGCCCGGGACAGCCGGTGTTTGAGGCGCGCGACGCCAAGCTGATCGACAGAATGCTGTTTGAACTGAGCGACGTTAGCGAAGACGAGGACAGCGAATTTAGACGAGATGCAGGCGATGACCAGGATGCTCAAGGTGACCGACGCGAAGCGGACGAACCTGGCCACGCCTCCGCGTCCACTGCGCGACGACGCTCGAAACGCATTGCTGAGCAGTCCGTATCTCAAGCTGCCGCGTTCGCCGTTCTGGGGGAGGTGCTACGCGAACCACTCAACCTTACCGAGGCCCGTCGCTCGCCTCAGTGGACCGAGTGGCACGGAGCCATCAGCAAGGAAGTCAGGGCGTTGTTCGAGAAGGGGACGTTCGAGTGGGTTGACCCCCCCCCCCCCAGAGAGTGCAGCAGTACTCGACCACACCATTTAGTTTCGACAGAAGACCGGGGCTCGCGGTGAGGTCACCCAATTCAAAGCTCGGCTCTGTGCACGCGGTGATCGCCAGCGATTTCTAGTGGACTTCGTCGACACCTACCCCCCGGTAGCTACACTAGTAACCGTGAGAGTCTTCTTGGTGTTAGTCGCGAAGTTTGATCTGGTAGTTTGACAAGGCGACGTGCCCGCAGCCTACGTGAAGGCCGACCTCCCAGAGGTCATCTACATGAAACCAGTGCCTGGATTTGCAACAGCAGCTCAAGAAGGGAAAGTGTGGCGGCTGCGTAAGGCACTGTACGGCCTGCGTCAAGCCGGCCGTGAATGGAACAAGGCAATTGATTTGTACTCGCGCAACTACGGTCTCCAGCCAACGGATGTCGACCCATGTCTATACTATTCGCGAACCGATGCTCGCTGTTGTTGGTATGTCTCTATGTGGGCGATCTATTGATCGCTCACTCGATGGAAGAACAGGTCGCACGATTAATGAAGTCCCTACACGAGCGATTCAGCGTTAAGGACATGGGTGAGCCAGACCATATCTTGGGTACCCGGGTGGAGCGCACAGGGCCAAACGCGGTGGCGCTGTTACAGACGGCGTACGTGGACGAAGTGCTTCACCGGTTCGCGATGGACGGCTCAAGACCGCAACGCACACCCATGGTGCCAAATACACGGCTTGATTCCCTCGACGACAAGCTAAGTGCTGAAGAGCTCGCCTCGATGCAACGGATGCCTTATCGCGAGGCTGTCGGCACGATGCTGTACATAGCGCGGGTTACGCGCCCAGACATCAGCTTCGCAGTTGGCCAAGTCGCACGACATTGTGCACGACCTCGCAAGGTGGTGTGGGACGCCGTGAAGTACCTGTTGAGGTATTTAGCCGGCACCAGGGAGCTGAAGCTATAACTGACACCGTCAACCGACGAGATACTGGTGACGTCGGACGCGGACTGGGCGAATGACCGGTCCGATCGAAAGTCAATCTCGGGAAGAATGGTGTTCTTGTTTGGTTGTCCCGTTGCCTGGGCGAGCAAAAAGCAGACCATCGTGGCTAAGTCCAGCACGGCAGCAGAGTACGTGGCAGCGGACCTTGCCATCGAAGACGGTGAGCTCGTACGACTGCTCGTGGAGCAAGTGCTCGGCAGGGACGTACCCGTCGTGCTCGCTTTGGACAGCCAACCAGCGATAGCTCGCCTACGACGCCCGGGTCTCAGCGACAAGCAGAAGACCGTTGATGTGCGGTACAAGGCGGCTACGGCGATGCTGCAAGAAGGAAAAATTGCGGCAGTGTACCTGCCCACGGGAGGTATGCCTGCCGACCTTCTTACGAAGGCACTCGGCCCGCAGCAACTCGAATTCAAGCGTGGCCTATGTGACCTTGGGTAGGCGAACCCAGCGCGGGTAGACATACCCGATTCGCCGCTTGTGGGGGAGGTGCTGGACGCGCAGAATGTGACAACCGGCGCACGTCAACGTCAGGTCGAGTGTGTACTGATCGGTAAGGTCTCTGGACCGGACCCATCACGGTAAATACATATTGGACATCTTCGGAGGTCCAGGGCGCGTACATCTCGGTCTTACTATGGGAATGCGTGTCCATACAAAGACCAAGACAAATTAAACTTGTGATAAATAAACCTCTCGTACCCAGAGTGAGTCTCTGGAAGTTTTACTATTCAGGACAAGTTACTTCGTCTACTTTAGGCTTCTGCTACTCACGGGTAGCCCAGAAAAAGCGTGAATCTACAAGCCCCATATCCGGGTACGTGCAACAGCAGTGGTGTTTCTCTTATTCCTATTACTTTTGACTGATCTTTTTGCGAATATTCTCATGGTGGCGTTGGCTCTTGTAGGAGGTGATCATTTCCCGGCCGTGAAGCCCAAGGACGACGTGGAGCAGCCATGAGCCGTGGCGCTTGAAAACTCCGCAGAGTCATCAGAAGTGCCTAGAAATGTAAAGATGAGCACTGATTGCCAGCTAAAAGGTGGAAAAGAGCTATCTACGCACCAATTCTGCCAGTGATAAAGACCCCTTGTGGTTGAAATCAAAGAGATCGAAAAGCAACTGAGACAAAGAGTTCAATACGTTATCACCATCCACTCAGCAGTATGCTCTACGTATATCTTGCTTTGTCTTCAAACATGGCACGACAGACACAGGCCAGTGCCGCCAGCAGTTCCAACCCGTCCACGCGTCCGTCGTGGTTGGCGTCCAGCACCTCAAAAACCTCTTCGATCCCGACACTCTCGGGCGACTTCAGTAGTAAAAGCCTCTCAAACTGACTCGCGGTGACGGCAAACCCGAAAGTTTTCTTGAAGCGGCAATGCAACTGCTCCACATCCGCCAAAGTCCCTATAAACACAGTCGCGGCATGAGTTCGAACACGAAGCAAGAAACTGAGAGGGAGCACGTTCTCACATCGTGCAAAGTCTCTCGTCTCGCGCCGTACTACTGTAGCTGTAGCCCGCTTTATAGCACGGCGAGGGCCGGGTCTGGGCTTGCCGCTTAAATTATTTCGGACAGTATTAGTAGTGCAAGTGTATTTTTTTTTTGCGAGGACAGCAGCGTCTGGATTTCCACGAAAGCGCCCACTCCTCTGCAAGTAGGCCTTCGCGTTAGCTTTGATGGCGGTTATCACGGCGTCTGACAGAGTCAATTTGGTAAATGAAGAGCGCCGTCATAATAAAAATGAATTGTGCCAACACTTTTGTGAGAGAGAGGCAGACTTATCTATTTGGTCACTTATCGACGACTAGATGATGTCTGTTTGATCCTAAGCCTGGCTAGCAACGCCGGTTCCAGCGTCTGGTCCAGTGATTGTACGGGGCTTGTCTCCATTGGAGACTTCTCTGTGAGTGTTTTCTCCAGCTGACGTTGACATAACAGGAGTCTTGTCCCAATTTCCATCGTTTCTGGTTTTCTTCGTTCTCGTTTGGCTATGGCTCGTAGTTGCTGCTGGCTCGGTGCCAACACTTTTGTGTTTTTTCTGTAAAGTAAATTCAACTTGATACAATTATTGCAGTGCATTACGAAAACGAACTTGTAGAACGATCGATGCGTAATATTGGATGACATTCAGACGAAAAATAATCCATTATTTTTTTGCTGGTTTTTTTTCGTCTGAATGCCATCCCGCGGGATGGTTCATTTGAGTTATTCGGAAAAAGTAAAATTTTGGGTTGTAATAATATAGGCTTGGTTGGCATTCAACATAGTTCCAAAAACTCGTCGGTACGCATGCTGATTGGACAGGATGACATTCAGACGAAAAAAAAAACCATTAAAATTTTAATGATTTTTTTTCGTCTGAATGCCATCCCGGCCAATCAGCATGCGTAGCAAACACGGAGTGTAGTGAATGAAGGTCTATTTTAGAACTATCGTGCTATTGTAGTAGTAGTGCTATTATTTTGTTATATACTACAGTAGTAACATTTTGCTGGTAAAGCTAAAATAATATTCTTATTCCTCCAATAAACCTACTGTAGATTAAGATTTTGATTATGACTAAAAATCCAGAACTTCCCCCGTCAAAAGCAAGGCATTATTATGAAATTACAAGAAAAGAGAAAATCATGAAACCAACGAAAGGCAGTTAGCGATGAAGAGCTTGCTTTGCTGGTAAGGACACCTTTGCCAGTCCATATTGGCGGTAATGTAAAGCAAAGTGTAGAAAACAAGCGGAATGTATCAAACCTGTGTGGTTCACAACTGAGGTTTCTAGTCAGCATTATTGACTTCATTCTACCTCTCGCTATTGCTCGCCAGAGGTGGTATGGTGTGATTTAGCCAGTAGCAAAATGACTGCGCCGGCCGCCAAAGGTAGCCCGAGGAGAGTAGCGAAAAATGCTATAGCTCCGGCTCGATCCTTCTTCGAGGCGCTAGTCAGCGCACCCGAAATCTTGTCCACACCGATTTTGTTTGTCTGCGTTGCATGATTCGCCGCAGCTACTTTGCCGCCCTGTTTAGCTAGTTGTTCTGCTCTCATTCTGGCCTGCTGCGCTCCGAGATAACCAGCTGCGAACGCCGCTACAGGCGCGATCCTCTCTTCGTCGTTCGTCTTGGCATGATTTAAAGTACCCCTGAGATGGCGCATTTTGTCGTCAGTGTCAATGAGTCCTATACCCGTGTTAGAGTCTGAATCGGTGAGTATAGAGCCATTGCTGACAGTGGCGAAGATATTGACGAGAACGAACAGGAACAGTTTAAATCGCATTGGTACGCAGAAGCAGCTTGGAAAATGACGAGGTGGAGGGGGGGACTAAGCTTTCTTGCGCATTCGTAAGTTACAGCACTGTTTACGATATTCTATAACGATTCGTGATGCACCAATGCTTACGTGGTGTTTATGGGACTCGTAACCGACAAACTTGTCTGTCTGTCCGTCCGTCCTACAACCTCTCTTATCGATTGCACCCGTCTTTTAGCCTTCTCTTTATCGTCGCTTAACACTGGGAGCTCTCCTGCGATATTGATTTGCATCGCTATCCTGACTGCGTGACGGAAGCAAGTGTCACGAAAAAACGAGATCTGATTGGCTAAATACGTTTTCGGACTTTACCGCACGAAATCGAACCTAAGCGCGAGATACTGCTACTCGGACTGATCAGTAGCACCATGCACACCATTCGATTAGACGAAAGGCAATCATTTTTCCTCAAACGAAGCATAACAATTGGATAAAATTTGCCATTGACGTTTACGGACGGATATTTGTCGGTTAAAAGAGAGTAAACCGACACCATAAACAATTATTTGGACTTCTGGTAATTTTACAATTAATTTTCAGCTACAAATGGAATCTACCATGATCAATTACATTTGAGGCGGTGGCGCGACGGTTATTACGAGCACAGTAAACTGTAATACAAACGCAAGGAAACGGGATCATATCACCATATATAATTACATTTAGTCGCTTCTAAACGACAAGGCTATTAATTAGTTTATTTATTTGCTGTGGCTCACTCTCATAAGAGATCTTAATGTGTGCGGACCGCCAACGCCACTGAAGCCAACCTAAAGAAACTGCCTAGCCACCTCCATCCCATCCGGGTGAGAAGATAAATATTGCCAAGATGGCTATTAATAATGAGTAGTATTTCTACGAATCAATCTGCACACTTGAGAACTCTTCTACCGATAACCTAAACCCATATATATAAAAGTTTATTCTAATCATATTAACACTCTATAACAAAACCTATTTTATATTTTCTTTCAATTCCCTTACCTTTTTTTTTAAAATTGTTTTTTACTTCATTCCCACGTCCAATCCTATTACACACTTCCTTACAACATATCTATACCACATCAAATTACTTATCTACAGTCAAACTTCACACATTTACCCCCAAATACTCATCCATACTCATCAATATATATTCTTTCCTTTCGTTATACGTTCCACTAACCCATTTCTGTAACCCCAATATATTTGCATACATCCCACATCTTTTTTATACTTTTACAACATCCTCATATTTAATCTTTTAACCCCTACGTGAACAGGAACTTTTGAGCTGGCAATATTATACTATTGTAGTGGTGGCAAACAGATCAAGCCTTAGCCCATTCACGGGTAGACATCGCCAAGCTGGCAAGCAGAGTAGTAATAGGACATAGGCTACAAAACCACCAAAGCCAACAGAGCGGCAGCCAAGACCACTTACACATCTAGCCTAGGACCAATAACAGAGCTTTAGTTTGCCTGGAAGCACCAGCTTCCTTCGTAGTGTTCCGAGACCAACTACAAAGCTATATTTAGTTGCGGGTTGAACAACACCAACGCAAGCATGACAACGACACCGAAGCATAGTGGCGGAGGCTAGGAGACGTCCCTCTCGACGGATGAGCGGGTCGGGAGCAACCTTGGGCAAGTGGATCACTCACGGCTGGATTCGACGACGAGCGACCAGACAGCACGAGTGCCGCATCCCATCTTCGCCATTGCGAACGCGCCGAAGGTGTCCTCCATGGCGCGGGAAGCGCTCGTGGAGTGGTTGAAATCTCAAAACGAGTACGATGAGTACATCATAGACCACTGCAAAGACGAAAACAAGGCCGTTTCTGCTGTGATGAAGTGTGTAAAAAGCGCTTTTGATGCCAACGTGTTGGATACTCTGTGTGAAGTGTGTTGGGGCGTAGATCAGAGTAGTGTAACAAAAAAATTTTTGGGAGAGATTTATAAAATCACCGACAGCTTCCAGAACTAAGAGTTACTTGACGTGAAGGAATTTTCCCGTGAAGAGCTGCGCATGAACACGAGTAACAAGGATATCAATGCCAGAGTAATCGAGTCCATTCATTTGTGTAATTCGTTGATAAAAAACATGGGTTTTCATGTTTCTTTGAGGAAGCGCGAGTTGTTAAAGTGAAAAGCAAGCTCATTGTCAACTCGCTTCCGAAAATACTGAATAACAGGGTTCAGAATGAATTGATGTATCATGTTCCGGAAGCCATGAGCGATATTCGGAAATTGTGTGAGGTCGTCTGCGCCAACTTGAAAGAGCAAGCAATTCAAGAATGGGCTCTTAAGAAAGCGAATTCATCGCACAGCAAGCTGCAACGGAAATGGCAGCAGAACACGGTTAGTCATCAACAAAACGAATGACGTAGTGAGCAAACCAACAACCGTTTGGTCAAGAAAGCAAAGCAGGGGGGAAGGACACCGACCGGAGCCAGCAGGAAGGATATCGATCTGGACGTGCTGCCACCAAAGGAGTGCCTAAAGACGGGTGTTTCCATTGCGGTGGCACGCACGACTTGTCCAAATGCCCAACGGCAACCCCAGCGGAGGGTGAAAAGCTGCTTGCCTATCGTAGAAAAGACAGCAAAGATGATTCGGATAACCAAGGGAGGCACCGCTAAACTGAAACGAATTTATAGAATGCTTTTCCAAGCAGGATCGAGTTGTCGTACTGTAAGATGAAGCGGTAGTTCCGCTTTGTATTGACAGTGGGGCAGAACGGTGCTGTTTAGACGAGGGTTGTTTTGATCGATTGGCAAATGTGAAGCCGGATATTGTGCGTGTCAAGCTGGGTCAATCTTTGATGTGCACGATGGCCGACAACACATCTGTTTATGTGAATTGGACTGTAAAACTAAATGTGAGGTTGTCAACCATCGCTGGTAATGTTCATGTTGCTGAGCCGGTTGAGTGTCTTAATATTTCCGGCGACTCCAGCGAATTCTTGTTGGGTAACGACTTGTTACTTAAGCTAGGAATCGACGTTAAAAGGCAGCTCGACCTACTAGCGGTGCCGACGAGACCGAAGGCGAATCTGATGGTATTGATGAACCTATAATTGGGGATGCAGTACAGCATGAAGAAGAAGTTAGAGATGGCATACTAGAGTTGGTTGAATAAGTAATTGCGGATAGGTTCCCTTTGGAGTTCAAGAAGGAATTTACTCATATTGCGCTGCGCTTGGACTTGTCGAGAACTCGTTTGGGTGCAGATCCGCCGGCGAAAGTGCCTCCAATGCGGTCCTCCCGAAACCTGGTGCAAAACCATACAGGTGTGAGACAAGGAAGTACCCACCAGAATTCCGTTGCTTCATGGAGAGTTTTAATCGCAAACTAGGGTGGGTTTATGAAAATCGTGAGTGCAGATGGACATCTCTTGCCCTACCAGTAAAAGTGGCGGGGAATTTCAACAAACGGCAGACTACAAGCCAATGAACACGCTAGTAGAATGGAATCATGCCTGATCTACGCACCGGTTTAGGAGCTGTGATAGGAGCCAAGCTTTTTGGATTGTTTGATTTCATCAAGGGCTACTGGCAACTAGCACTTCCTGAAGAGTGTCAAGAGATGTTGTCTTACATGACGCATCAGAAAGTGTACACACCAAGGAGCGTTCCGCGAGGATGTACTGATCCTGCTTTATTCTTCCAATCTACAATCGAGAAGTGCCTGGAAGAGCTTCTACTCCGTCATCTACTCGTTTGGATAGATGATTTGATGTTGTTTGTAAACGACGTGCGTACATACTTCACTAAGTTGGAGAGACCATTTGAACTACTAGATTTCTCGATTTTACTCTGAGTGTCAAGAAGTCCAGGCTGTTCCAGAGTGATGTACGTTAGTATGGGAAGATAATCTCAGGTACTGGTGTGTGCCATGACCCCGAACGTGTCCGTACACTGGAGAACCTTCCATACTTAAGCACTGCGGCTGAGTTGCAACAATTTTTGCGTGCAACAAACTGGATGCGCGAAAGTTTGATTGCCTACACTAGGAATCTAGACCACTTCAAGACGCAGTGGATACAACATTAGCAAACGCCTCTAAAATGACCAAGCGAGTTGCAGCTGGAATTGCCATTTTTTTGAGTGGTATACACCGACCGGCGTACGATGAACTGAAACTACGGTTAGAACAATGTGTGACGCTCTCTTTTCTCAGGAAAACGCGACCACTCGTGTGACCACTGACGCTATTGATGTTGGGTGGAGTCTGATAGTAACTCAAGTTACAAATTAGAAAGCTAATGAGCACCAGCTACTCCCATGCTTGAGCGGAACGTTCACGCGCTCTCAGTGTCATGGATCATCATCGAAAAGGAAGCGTACCCAATAGTTTGTGCGTGCGATAAATTGACTACTTGTTGTTAAGGCCCGGTGGGGTTAAGCTATTCTGCGGCCATAGAAATATTTATCTATGTGTTTGCACCAGGCGTCGAGGTGGAAAAGCATATTCGTGGCAAACGCTTGAGGTGGGCAACAAATGTTGCAGAGTACAGAGTACAGATACGAAATCGAGCATATTAACGCTGGATTGAACATTTGGAGTGACATAGTTTCCCGTTGGGCTGGCAAGCATGTACAAGAAGTACATTTTTCGGAAGATGACACGTCTAGAGTGGCCTCCTGCCTCGACTCCTAGCACTATGCTACCAAGAAAACGAACTCACCGGAGAGGTAAACGTGCTGAACGTGTGCTGGTACCTACTCCTACGCTTCAACAACCTATAAGATCTCTGAATAACCCCGGTTTCGAATGGCCGACCCACGTTGCCATCGTTGAGGCACAAAGCAGACAGAAAGTACATCGACCTGAAGGAGCAACTGGTAGCGATGAGGTAGGGTGGTATATTAACGAATAAAGACAACATAAGGGTACCAGATGAAGAAGAGGATTTAATCCAACGCATCCTTGTTGTCGTCCATCGTGGAGCGCAGGGACATCGGGGGCGTGATTCCACCATTGAGTCAATTAGGGGCTTTGTTTACATTGTCCGCCTTAGAGCGCGGGTGGAAAATTCCTTTCGGCGTGGCTATTATGTCATCATGTCAAAGGTGGAAAGATAATCCAAAGGCCATGGGGAGAAACATATCGAACAAATGAACGGAATGGTGCGCTTTATTGGATTTTTATCGCTTGGAGACAGCTTTGCTGGGGATAGTTATCTATTCGTACTGAAAGACGAAGCGACACATTACTGCAAGCTGACACCATGCTCCAGTCCGACTAGCACAGTTGCTGTGGAGTCTATCCTTGCATGGTAGTCGCTATGGTATCCCGTCATTGTGGATAAGCGACTAGGGGTCGCATTTTAAATATATAGTAGTGGCGGAAGTGTGCCGGCGTCTGAAATCACAGCAAGCGTTTATCGTGGCTTATTCACCATGGATAAACGGCAGTATTGAGCCTGCAAATCGCGATATTGTGCAGGTTCTACGACCCCTATGTCTCAAATACGAAGTGGACACTCATAATTGAACATTCTTTGTGTCTATCTTACAAAAATATTTGAACCCCACACCTATTTCGTCGCTAGGAAACAAAGCTCCGGTGGAATTATTTTGTGGATTACCGCTACCATCTCCTCTACATTTGTGTGTGGATTCTAAGAAAAAGAAAATACTGGCACTGCCTGAACAAACAGAGGACATTGAACCTTGGCTTGCACCTACGAAGGCTAGCATCCGAGCTGTGCACAAACCGATGATTGCTGCACGAACGCAACAGACAAAGAGCAATCAGCGACGTCACCAACACACACAACACCCAAATTTTGAAGGGAGTGATTATGTGTTGAGGTCAAGTGTGGACCATAAGCACCAAGGCAAGTTGCTAGTTACATGGATAGGCGTGGTGTAGCAGAACACACAAATACCACCAGATGTTGATCCTCGCACAAACCACAACAATACGCCTAGTCTACAGCCTAGTCTACAGCCTAGATTTTCCAGTTGAGCTGGCTAAGCCAGGTAAGATAGGCGCTTGTATGGCCTGCGCTGGGGTTGATCTCCCGCAGTTCGGCCCAGCCGGGACAGACGGTGTGCTCTCGCATTTGCCAGGTCACGGCCAACCAAGTCTCTCTCTCTCTCTCTCTCTCTCTCTCTCTCTCTCTCT